ATTTGTTAATAAACAAAGTGAACGTGACGTTCTTGAATTCGCCGAGTACACCTTTCGAAGTAACGTTTTTGTCGAGGCTCGTGTTCCTTTAATCTTCCGCAGACACTTTGGTTAACTAACTGATCAAGCGTCATGAATGCCATAATTTGGATTCATGGCATACGGGTATTGGCTGGCAGCTTCGTGTTCCTAGCAATGTTGGGGTCCTTTTACCCACCCCTCTCGACCCACTTGGAACTGTTCCTGCCCGTCAGGGTGGCAAATGTGGTGGAACGCGTGCTATGATCGCTTCACTGAATCACGGCAAACTGGGGGTGAGGCCTGGTCTGCACCTCGTTCAGTCGAGGAAATAGAGTTTATGGCGAATGTAGCACGCGAGAACAACTACGATACCTAGATTACTTACAATGACAGGAAAAGCGAAGAAAGTTGGACATGTGATGAGCAGGAGGACAGCAAGCTAATCCTCGAAATGGGCTCCATGGCAACCGGATGATGCTGGCCCAAATCAAGACTGTGCTGTGTTAACTCCAAGCCATGGCGGCAGCGTGGATGACCGTCGCTGTAATTTCCCTAACGTAATTTTCGCCTTCGTCCTTCCCTCTGGTTCCAAGATCCCTTTTATGTCCTTCCCTAATTCTTCCCGCTTGAAAAAAAATTGTATTTGCCCACATATCTTCGCGAATGTTCACTTTTATCTATTCTACGGTGCATTCGATTCTGAAATGGATCATGTCAAGTTCATCACCAAGAATCGATATCATTATTTTGATCTGTGCTGGCCGAACAAGGCTATCGTTCAGTAAAATGCGCCCTCTGTTGACCGAATGTTTTGGCGATACAAGTGTGGCTGTATATACATGTACATGAGCAACAATATAATACACTGTACATGTATCAAGTTGTAACGTCTCTGGGCCTTCCGGCCAAGACAAGGCAAGGTGCGGATAAAACACAACAGGTGTCAAGAACAAGCGCAACAAGGTCAGCAGTAATTTGGTAGAGGAGAAGAAGATGCGGTGAATCGACGTTAACTTGATCGATGGATATATTGAGGGGCATTCATGCCCTGCTGGGTCGGCATCTCTTGCAACACCGTGATACAGTGCAATTTAGTTTTCGATACTTCGTATGAATGAGTGCAAATAAAATGGTACAAAACAATACCGGGCGGAACGTGTTTCCAACTGCCTAACCTACGAGTTCCTAGTTCCCACACTACTTAAAAATTGTTCACGCAATACTGCCCTACTGAGATGAAAAAACGTCACGGTAGGACATGTTGCCACAGCAACTGGCTTCTCTGGCGTCTTTAAAAAGTATTGGCGATCGTTTCGTTTTAATTTCATTTACGGCTTGAAATTATACAGGTTTCGTACTCCCACTGTCCCAGGAGTGCGTCGAGGGAGTGAGCAATCTCCGGTCAATAATTGTTAACTGTAGCGGGCAAGACAAGAATCGACTTGTCTTCACTTCAATTTATTGTTGCTTCAGAGTTTCGAAGAGCAGTATAGTTTTATTATTGAAGATTAATCTATTTGATGTCAACCACATAGTTGGAATGGACAAGATTGTGCAGTGATTTCCTCAATATATAGTGGCAATATTGATGACGTTGGCAGTATAGGGAATTTCAAGGCTTTCTATATCCGTCAGCGTGCCTGCACTCCTCGCCCAACCCAACCCCGTCACTACTGCTTCTCTACCGACAACCACGGCCGCATTCTCAACTCAACCTGCCTCCTTGACCACGTCATCCGGGAATTCAGCATCCACACCGTCAACGCCTGTTCCTCGGCCTGCATCGAGGAGCCCGAATGACGCTCCTTCAACATCAAGAAAACTGGAGAAGGGAAGAAACTGACGTGCCAACTGAACAACAGCACAAGCTGTGAAGACATGAACAAATTTCAAAATACTAGTGACCCTCCATCGACAGAGCTGTCCTGAACGTCAAATAAGCGAGAGGGCTGGTTGTAGCAAGACTGCTGTGCACAATGCCATTTCAAAATTTGAAAGAGATGGCCCATTTCCTGACCAGAAAAGGCACGGTCGTCCAGGAAAACTGCCCCCGTGAAGACCATGTGATCCAGCAAATTGTTGTGAAGGATCCCTCGAGTTCTTGTCGAAAGATCAAAGTAGCTTTGCAGTCCACTGGTACAAATGTCATGTTGCCGATGAGTTGCTGGAATGATTCCAAAGAGGATGACGAGCAGCAAATGTGAACGACTTGCGAGGATTTGAGGCTTTTCTCGAAGAATGTTGAACTTTCCAAAAACTCTACACAAACTTGGCCATTTTCTGTGGCGGTTTCTTTTCAGGACGAAAAGATGAACGTGAAGATGATTCTCCACGTTTACTTACAAGGCTGTCGGCTGCAAATTTGATTTATTTGAAGAGGAGTTTTGTTATACCGTGTTTTGTCCACATTAACTCTATGTGATAATATATCACAGCCACAACCTTCACACATGGACCCCATTTCTCTCAAGTTCAACTTGTCACCAGACTCTTGGAATATTTTAGGGGCATTGGCGATACAGGCGTGCCTATCACTTAAATATTCTTGCTACTTGAACAACACACCGTTAAATGCCTGATAAAAAAACACCAATACAATTGTTACATTCTGTTTTTTTAGGTTAAAAGGTCGCGACTATGGCCCAAACCCAGAATTGCATTGTTCACTTCTATAGTGGCGTGGCATTCATAATGAAGAATTCACAGCTGCGTACTTCTTTTGTATCACGGCACGTCCACTATTCACTGCAGACAACGCCACAGGATCAACAACATCAATGCCTTAAACATCAATGCCCTAAAAAGCACACCTGAGTAATGACACCTTCTGTGAAGTGAGATGGACTGCAGTTGCACAGCTCAACTAAAGAGCCGTTTAGGCATTTACTGTAACTGTATTTAGAATACATAATACTTAAAATACCATTGCCATGTGTCTTTCTCTATTAAAATTATACCCTGGAAATAAAATTAAATTCATCCAAGAAATGAAAATGTCGAAGTGTCAAAAACCTATCTCGTGTACTTTGGTTTTCTAATATTCAGGTGTTCAGTTTCCCGATTACAGATGTTGTTTATGAGAGAAGCAAGGGGAATTTTATGCCATTAATTAAAGAGCAAAAAATGAACCATTTGTAGAGAAGTTTTTTTTTTTTTTACTAAATTTATGTTTTGCACTTACCCTTGAGCCAGTTGTTTCTGACTTACCAATTTGATGTTTGGACTTGTCCCAAAGTTTAAACTGTTGTCATCACTCAGATCATCCGACAAAAAGTACGCAGATCCCACAGCAAATGGCTTAAAATCCAAGCCTTGTAGTCTAACTGCTGGATGTTTCCCTTCATAGTTCGAGTCACGGGCTTAGTTGCTTCCATTTATAATTCAACTGATGTATTCATTATATTCTAGGAAACATACAGTTTTTCAACCAACACAGCAGTCACTAAGCCATTAATATGTTCAGGATTTTTTTTTTTGCAGTTTGGTTCATTCCAATACTCACAAAAGCCGTTCAGTTTCTGTTCCATATAATTTCTACTTGCGATAGTTCCCGGGAAAAAAGCCTTCAGGGGTTCGTGAACTGAGCGAGTCAGAGTCGATTTCCGAGGGGAGGAGAGCCAGCAACGGGAGCCCGGCCGCCAGTGGTCCTTCATCTTTAAATGTGGAGTTTCATCTCCCTCTTGGACACTTTTTCAGTTCGGTGGTCTACCCAGCGAAATGCTACAAAGGAGCCCCCAACTTGACACTGAAGTATTACACCATAAAGTCCTTGTCGCGTTGGAGGTATTGGTCCATTTCAACAGTCAAAGGAACTGCTGGAAAAATGCACTTTTTTGAACAAACGACGAGCACAAGCAGAAGTTACCAGCTTATGCTGGGTTCAGTCTAAGAGCAGAAGCCGACAGCATCTCGTAATTTTACCTATAGTTAATTTTGCACGAAAACAGGAGGCCATTGTTGTGTTCCTACGCGGCCAAATTTTCCTAAATAGTGAGAGATCAAATGAACGCCTTCATAAGTTATCTGGCTTAAAATATCGCTTTTAATTAAACTATGATGACAGAAAAATCATACAATTTTATTCTGCCTCAGTAAATACCGCAATATTAGAACAATTCAAGACGACCTACATTCTGCAAAGAGGAGGGATATTGAAGTGAGTCATTGCGGTTCATTTGGTCACTGCCTGTGAGTGCATTAGTCGCTTATTGGCTGGAAGTGGCAATATGTTTTGATTGACAGCTTGGAATCTAAAGACGCTTGTTTTAAGCCATTTCTCAAACTTTGGCTTCGTTAATATGGGGCTTCGTCACTAATTCCCGAATAATGAAACAAGCTTTTAATCTTGAAGCCCAACTCTCGAAAATCTAGTGTCATAAACATTTGATGCTCAAAGTCAAACCTAACTTTCAAATCACCTATAGCCTAATCTTGACGGTTTTGACTGATTCTGATACAGGCAGGGAGCATTGGTTTGGTGAACCTTTTTAACTTAGTTATAACAAGACTCTTGAGTTAACTTAGTTATAACAAGACTCTTGAGTTGACTGTATGTAAATTGCGTTCATTTCAAAATTTCATGAAATGGAGGCACCCGCGCCCGCCACACCCGCGGACATGGACATCCACGTGGGGGGATGCCCCTGTCAGTCTTCCCTTCACGCCGATACGCAACTGGGAGACAGTATTTTGGATACTTTGTTAGTGCCGGCTGCCTATTTCCAGGAGCTCGTATCCGCAAGCATTTTCATAACCAGCATGATTTATGATAAAACCCTGCTGGTAATTTTTCCTTTCGTGAAAAGTTTCGGCGTACGTACCGCTAAAATGTGGTTGAAAACGAGCTTCTCCTCATAAACACGCCAGCATCCCGCCCTTCAATTCACTGGGCTCCATCCTGCCACAAGGCATAAGGGGGGCGCTGTTAATAGTAATACGTCATGCATAAATTATTTTTGTGGGCTGTCTGGTTCATGACTCAATGGCATGGAATGGAATGCAGAAAAGCTAACTTCCGGAAGCAGTCACCATACTACCTAGGGCTGGGCCGAAGTTGATAGGATTCCGAGCAAAGTGGTTGAAAAATAGGTGAGTATTTTCTCTTATTCTCCATGAAGATGTCTCTTGATGGGTTTTGGCTGATAACAAATAACATTGATGAAGTCTGAAGCAGACTTGGGTCCTGATTTTGAATGCTGGACCTCCTCGATGACGTGATATGTGGAGTTCAAAATGAAGTTATGTGTACGGAGTGTGACTGTCACTGTGTCAGTTTCGAAAAGATTTCCAATGACAAACGTGAGTGACATGCCCATGGGGCCCCAACGTTGGTTAGGCCTATACACTATCGTACGGACAACACTGTTTTCCCGGGAAATGTTATAACAGCCGTCAGAGGGTGACAACTTGTCCTAAAATGTGAAATTTAGCTGAGAAAATTCCATTATAGCATTTACTTAGAATACTCTTCACTTACTAGAATGACTTAGGTTTTTTCAGAAAAGTCTTAGGGAGGCTCATAAATTTTTCAACGATTTTTTTCTGTTTTCTTTTTGACTTGATCTTGGACATGTTGGAGAGGATGTCATAAGAAACATTTTGATACAAGTTTGGATTCCATTGATACCTACAAAGCAAAGAAATAGTGATTGAAAGTTGGGGTATTTTCAGATGTTTCGGGACATTTTTGTGCATGTGTAATGCAGAGCAAACTTAGCCCCAGTGTACGTGTGGCATGGACCCTCACTCCCGCTCCATCCTTAGCCCCACATCCGTAGTCGCAATTTTGTGTCGGCGGGGTGAAAATGTTCAGTGCACCCTCTTATAATCGTGGGCGCAATTTTTTTTGCACACAGAAATCATCCTTAGCCTCTCCACTTTGTAAGCGCCATTTATTGAATGATTTCACTCATGTTGTTCAGGTATTTTCCAGTCTTTTTGCCTTCACCCATTCAATCTCACGGGCTCACTCTCAAAGTCACCATCTTTAAATAAGGTCATTGAACATTACTTTTTTGTGAGTGTTAAATTTTAGGCTACTTTGTCCCAAAAATAGAGTGGCTAACTTAGCCTTTGAAAGTAATTGGGTGGCTACTTCACCTTAGAAAGTAAATTAAAAAGTCTCTTTTTTGTGTGTTTTTTTCTTATGCAGTTTTCTTTTCCAAAATAAAGTAAATGAATTTTTATATCAAAAGGAAAATTATAAATAGACCACCCGGGTAACAAATAAAATAAGATATGAAATGAAATGCCATCGGTGTAGCTCACCAGAATGTTGTCACTTGACCCCTAATCTTCCCAACGGCTGTTCCATGTCAAGACATATCTAATAAATGGGCTGAACGATAAGATACTACATAATTATACCAATGGCCTCTTCCAAAACTTGGGCAGCTGTTGTAATATGTATTCAAGTTCCGTTCATTCTGTAATTATTGAATAGCACGAAGGGTCAATTTGCTGCATGTTAAATGTTCACACTCAGTCATAGTGACATCACGCCGACCACGAGAATGGAACTCTCTCCCAAGGGAATATTAGTGATGTCTGCTCACATGTATTGAGCTCCTTTTACCCTTTTTTCAGTTCGTTTAAGCTGGGTTGCTTTCTCAAAAATTTTAAATATGTTGGCATGTCGGCTGATTACAGTTTTTAAGTGTCATAAAAATGGTAAACCAACAAATTTTAGGCAGGTAACGGTGCGTCTGTCCATTGGGGGGATCATAAGTAAAAGGGATTCAGTACAGTAGGGGAAACTAATTTCAAAAGTTGGATCAACTTGTTTGGTGGAGAATTCTTTCCCTTTTCAAGAAATGAGCACTGACAAACCATCATGATTACTTCGACGTTGCAGAAAGAATATTGGGAGAGCGTTCCACACCCGGAAATCACCTGACACTGTTCCATACCCGGAAATCACCTGACACCCTGCGCACAAACCCTAAGAGACTAGTCTGAAAAATTTTATGCAAATGCTTCATTGTTTTCCCTGCTAAATTTAACTTTTAAGATGTGTGATTGTTTCTGATGGCTAATATGTCACCGCAAGAAAAGAATTAGTCAATGCTCATGCACGTACATGAAGTCAAAGATGGGAAACATTTAAACAAAAAAAGTTCCAAATCCGTTACTGATTTTCCCAAACGTTGAAACGGAACTGCCCCTTTTAGAGATTTGATGTGTTGATTAATGCAATGCTTTCATTTTTGTAAATGATGCTTGTAAAATTTAATGTGATTTTCGGAACACTTTACTGCTCGGTCATATTGTTATGCCCCAACTATAGCATAAGTCCCAACTATAGCTTAAGTCCCAACTATAGTTGGGCCTGTCCCAACTAGTGTGCTACAGTTGGGCCGGCCCAACTACAGCAGAAAGGTCCTGTGTGCATGATGTGCCCAGCATGTGCCAAAGTCATATTGTTTACAAATGTCATGTCATTGGTCATCGGGCTAGATGAACAGATGAAGTGCCACATTTTAAATGAATTGTGTCACGTGTGAGACACATTGACTTGGATAATGTTGCGACATTCCCACAGACATTGGTCAACAATAGTTGGGCCAGCCCAGCTGCAGCACTGCAGTTGAGACTATCCCAACTATAGTTGGGACTTATGCTATAGTTGGGGCATAACAGTATCAAAGGAATACCATGAATTCATCACCAGAACTTTGTGTCAACTATTGACATTGTATACAATGTTTTATGTTTAAAGTTTTCAATGGCACCGTGGTAAGTATGGCACGTTTACACGTTTAAACAAACACTCTTCAAAAGTTTTCCAAACGTTTTTCAAATTAAAAGTAAATTCCCACCCGTACATGTAATTCTGAACAACATAATCCTTTCATTTCCTTCAGTTCTGTAGCACACAGGTAAACCAATAACCAGTCACAATGTCGAGCAGAAAGACAAAAGGAAAGCAGCCTAAGAAGCGTGCTCAGCGCGCCACATCCAACGTGTTTGCGATGTTCGACCAAGCCCAGATCCAGGAATTCAAGGAAGCTTTCAACATGATTGACCAGAACAGGGATGGGTTCATTGACAAGGAGGATTTGCACGACATGCTTGCATCTTTAGGTATGCTAGTTGTTTTTACCCGGTACCCAGGACATATTGTGTGCATGGTTTACCAAGGAGATTGACGACCGGATGACCAATGATCATTGATTTCATAAATATCTCAGATAGTCTCCCTATTCAACAACGCGCAACTTGACCATGTTTTAACATTTGATGTTGCCCACTGAGAAGTGATAATGCCCGTTGTGTAAATCACGCACTGATACCTGCGTACGAGACAGTTTAATCAATTCTGATCAGTCAAGAGTCTGTGTGTGCACAGCTCACCATGTGTGCGCCAAGTCCACGTAAGGAGATTCTTTTGAACAATTTGCACAAGGAATGCACCATAAAATGGACGGGGAAGTTCAGGAAAATGAAAGTAAAAATTCTAGCACAAAATCGTTCGAAATCCATCATATATTGACTTCTTTTATCTCTCTGACTAAAAAGGGTAAGTTTTTCGGAATGGTCATAAATAAACGATAGTTTAAGACTGGCTCAGGAGACTGAACGCTGATAATGCCCTCACCTCCAGCTCGGGCAGTAGTCGCCGGTCTTAAAAGCACATTTTATGCCTCATATTTATTCCCTTCTCAATCTGGCCTGTCTTGCCTACAAGCGATGTTGAGATTCATATCGGGGGATCCTGTCATGTACAGGCCTGTGTTAATCTGCATTGTGTTTGTTTTTTGGTTTTTGTTTCCTTTTCTGAACCAGGTAAGGACCCCACCGACGCTTACCTGGAGGGCATGATGAAAGAGGCTCCCGGACCCATCAACTTCACCATGTTCCTGACGTTGTTTGGAGAGAAACTCAACGGCACTGACCCGGAGGACGTCATCCTTAATGCATTTGGCTGTTTTGATGAGGATGGGCAAGGCACGCCTTATTGTTTTTATTTTTGACAAAAGTCATGGTCGTGTCTATGGCAGTCCATTGTATTGCCAGTTGTGGTCAATACTGTAAAGTAAATAAATTTATTGTGTGCCTATTCCACAAGAGGTTCACGTGCCTATTACAGATAAAACACAACAATATAATATTCCTTAACCCCTTCGCTCTGGGAGATGGTAAGAGCCGCCGTAAAAATTGAGATCCTCAGCCTGCTTTTCAGCTATTATTCTCGGCCCACGCCCAGTGAAAGAAGGCAGCCTCTGGCTCTTGTATATATGGTGATAGGCCTTTGTGTGTAGCCCAGAAATGAAAAGACTAAATTTGCATCATAATCACCAGCTTCACAATAGTCCCCACTTTGAAAAGAGGCAACGGGAATGTGGAAGCGTGAGCAGAGCCGTATGCCACCAAACAATGAGTCTTTTCACTGTGTAATTCAGAGCACGCAGGGCCACAAACTGAGAATTTGCGGTTTGGCAGGTGGCCTTTGTGGCCAAGCAAGGCTGGAATTCTTGGAGTCGGCTTTCGGAAAAAATTCCCGTCGTCAAGGGGTTAAAAACTCACAAATCAACAGAGCACGATAAAAGTTAGAAAGACAGTCACATTTAAGATATCACATTATACACACAATACACAGTTAAGAAAGTCTTAAAAAATACATTGCCGTATGATGCCACTACAGAGAGCTTGGTATTATTCTGCAGTAAACTCCTAACAGGCACAGAGGTGTTCCCATCCAAAATGGTAGTTTTGGATGAGGACTGTTTGATAGTCCTCGATAATCTTTTGTTCAACATGCATTTGTATCTGCATCAACCCTAACAGTCCCAAGTCCTTAAATTTTAATATGATTTTACGTACACCCTGGGGGGGGTAGGGGTTAATCAAGCATCATAAGGCAGTGTTTGCCACAGTGCCAAACTGTAGCAAACAGCCATGCGAGGGATCCACGTTGACCCATACTCGACCCGTTAACAACTTGTAATCCCACTTTTCATCTTAGGCCGCATCCATGAAGACTACCTTCGAGAGCTCCTGGTTACTATGGGCGACCGGTTCACCGACGATGAGGTGGACGAGATGTGCAGAGAGGCTCCCATCGACAAAGAAGGTCAGCTGAACTACCGGGAGTTTGTACGGATTCTGAAGCATGGTAGCAAGGATAAGGACGACGACACAAACCCATGAAGCAACGCTCATGGTCACAAGCTGAGAATGGTAGGTGCTAATCTAATGAAGAATTGGTAGCAGAGCCACATGGAGGCTTTACTTGGCAGCAGTGTTCTAGCCACATTGGGTGGCGTTGGGCGGCACCACCCGTTACTGCCAATTTCCGCCCAGCTCTCGGATTCAAATTGGCTGGGCAGCCCAGCACGGATTTTCAAATAAAATGAACTGAAATATTACTGAAAATCAATGTACCAATTCGATCGTATTTCAAGCTTCAGAAAGCATTGAGAACTGCGCTCACTACGCTTCGCAATCCAAAAATTTACCCAGTACTAAAATGGTCCAGCTAGAACACTGCTTGGCATACCCGGCACTAAAATGGTCCTAGCTAGAACACTGCGTGGCAGCCAGGGTGGTTCTTTTGTTCCACAGGGAAACCTCCTTTGTGCCGACCCAGTTGAACACAAGCACTGGCCCACAAGATGGTAGCCTTGCCCTAAGACAGGTTTTGTTTTTTGGCCGGTGCACCGTGCAGAGAGAAATCTCTTAAATCTTGCTAAATCTTGGCTGGAGGTACTCCTAGGTGTGAGAAGCTATTCTATTGAATACAAGGTACAATTGTGTGCATTATTGCAACTGATTTTGTATATGGTTTGTTCATCAACAATCTGCCGGTCGGTACAGATTGGAAATTCCTCCTTTTTTGTCGAAGTCCAAGTTGTATGCCAGTCTTGAAAATAAAAGTGGAAACATATTTTTAAAGTATCACAATTTCTTTTGTTTTATTTTTAAAAAGCCTGGTTTTTGTTTATGAATGGAAAATAATGAGGTTGGTAACAGCATGGTAAAGTGCCACTTTCGTGTGGAATTGCTCTAAAGAAGAAAAAGCTCTACAATTTCTCTTTTTTTTTCCATTTTTTTCTCTCTGCAGGGGTGGACCAATTCACGAATACACACATCATCTGAACTGCCAGAAAACACAATCAGGCATAAGAATCATACATGTAAGAAAGAATTATGTGAAACTTTCACATCTTCTGATCATTTTGTTCCCAATTTGTTAATTGACTAATGAAGACACAATATGAAATTTTAATTAAAAAGTGGACCGGTGGGTACATGTTCCTCTTTTTCAGAATTTAAAAGAATTTGAATAAAAAATGCTTTTGATGATTTTTGATTACCAAACTTATGAGGTTTAGCAGAAAGGGGCTTCATTGTGAGGTTCAAGCCATGTTCAGTCTGTGGTTCACACGTATAGATTTGGGCCTTGCATTCGGACAGCAGTAGGATTTGCACACGCAAAACAATTCAACTTGCCCTTTGAGATGAACGGCATTTTGTGTAATCAATGTCCCCTGAATTGCATGACATTGAAACTTGCTCAATACTGTTGTCATCTTTTAGTGATATTACCAACGGCACTCCGTCTTTACCATTCTGTAGTCCTGTGATTTGCCGTTAACATTCCTAAAGAGAATTTGCATGGGCCGCTCATTCCCTCCTGTAAAAAAAGATAGTTTTTACCGATCCATTCATGTTGCCCGTAGTAAACGTAATTTGATTTAGATTTAATATGTACTTGTCGAAGCATCGTTTGAGCACAATAGGGCAGACTTTTACAATGTGCAACCACCAAGAGGTTGCCATGGAAACATCAATTTTTACGATTGCATTGTGGGAAATGGTCAACAAGTGCTATTTGGCAGCTGCGTGCATTGGGATCTTGAATTATTCCCAAAGTTTGTGTGGGTAATTGCTTTACAAGTGTATTTCGAGTATTAGGTTCCTTCATCCTTTCTGTTCTTCACTGCATTAAATGCAGTTGAAGAAAAGTTTGAGGAAGTGTTTGACTTGCAGAAATTTCAGAGTGTAGATATCAACTAATTTGCCTACTAACATACACTCAAATACAGGTAAAGCAAGTAGGCCATGCTATTGTCGACAGTAAATGTCGAAAATGGCCTTTCTATGTTAACTTCTTGGTGGCGCACTGTATTGGGAATGACCTTTATTGAGTAGTCACTTCTGCAAAGTGCCAATATCTTAGAGCTGCTGAGGAGAGAACATTAATTAGCAAATATGTGGCCCACTCAGTGAAAATGAGTCTTAACTCGCCAAAGCCACTTTGGAGTAAAAAGTCCTTTAGAATAATTTTGGACTGTGTCAATCAATAGGAACCCATAGCATTTTTCACCATGGAGTATCCACTTTCATCAGAATACCAAAGTGAGTAATACATAAAAACAAAAAACTCAATTTGCTCTTTCCAATACAAATGAAAACTCAAAAAGTGGCTTTGCCGACTTAAGACTCGTTTTCACAGAGTGGGTCACATATGTTTAGGCACAACTCATCAGTGAACCAGTTACTGGCTGCGTATACCACATGTTATTCTGACTGGTAAACATCTTTTGCTGTAAATTGTGCTGAACAAAATCCCCAGTCGGGCAGCTCTGCATATCAGGTCCTTTGTCTAGATACACCTTGACTGTATTTAACATAATTTGTAATCACTAATTTGTTTGATTTAATCATAGCTACCTAGTTAAAAAACACCTTGCTTCAACAATATTTTTCTAATTATTTTTGACCTTTTGGTTCATGCAGATCTATTGCTAGACATTTTAGTATTCTTTTTAAACAACTTCAAGTATTTATTCACGGAGCAAACCGTTTAGTCTAAATTCTACCAAAATTGTGACCTGCTCTGCAGAAAGGGGTAATAAGTCGCGCAGTGCCAAAACATGTTATGGCCTGTTCTATTTGGAGAGGGCAACATTTCTTCAAAACTTTGGTTTTGTGTTTTTCCTTTCATAGCTTCTATTACATTTTTGTTTTAAGAATTTGTGACTAAAAACATGGATACTGATGAATAAAGATGAAAAACTGATCATTCAGTAGGAAATCCTTCATAGCATTGGGCTTCCAAGTGGAGCTTTTTCTCGAAAAAGGCTTTTATTGAATCCGAAAATGTGGACATACAAATGTCCGTATACCTCCAGAACGCAGTGCACTACATGGGTCATTCATACATAAAATTGTAGATTTTGATGTGCACAATCCAGCCATATCAAAAACTCATCATCTGAATCTGGAGATTTATTACCCATTTTTCTAGAGCCAGTCACAATTAGCACAGCATATAAGCAGGGTAGATATTTCTAACAAATTATATACCAGTAACAGTGTGGTGTGTGTGCTGATGGCCTCTTTTATATCAGGCATTTGTCATAGAACACAATTTCTGTAGTATCCTAAATTCAAGGATACGGCCGTTTCACAATAGTGCGCCTCGAAGAGTTTCCAACACGTTGGCCAATCACAATGCACGAAATTTGTCAACCTAAATCGCATTTGGAAATGGTCGACAAATTTCGCGCATTATGATTGGCCAGCGTGTTGCAAACTCTTGGTGGCACACTATTGTGAATCGCCTGTATTGGTCTCCATGGGTTAAATAATCAAATACCGAAGTATTAGCTCAAAGGTAAATTTTCTGAACCTAGAGTTCGTAATTGTCTCCTGCTTAAGCCCACTGACTTCATGAACTGTGGCTCCATCTTGGTTGATTTTCTTGAGAACAAGCAAGAGTTGAACGCATACAAAATTCCACCCTTTGAAATGTTTTTGTTTGACAGAGACATCAAAGAATTCCAAATTAAGCTTTTGCAAGCGATGAAGTCAGAGGAAAAGAAGAAACGGTTTTTTGAGAGATTTCCCACTCGTAGATTCAACAGAAGCTGACACCACATCATTCCCCATCCAAAATAAATGTTCCCCTTTTTAAACTAGTTGTTTTCTGCCTCTGTGTAACGCCGCTTGGCAAGTGCATCAATATGTGTACATTTAGTATTGCAACATGATGACCGTGAGACTTTTGCATGAAATAGTGAGTGTACAAATGTATAGATTTTGTCTACTGCTGAATAACAAAAATTCTCGCCAAATTGAAAAAAAATAATTTGTGGCATTCCAGAAAAATAGGTAAATTTGTGTCATTCCAAAAGGTTAGGTAGAGCTGTGGCTCTATTTCACGACATTCCTGATGTTTTCACATTGCCAGATGCTATTCCTATTGACAATGCCGTGGTAGGTAATCCTTAAAGTTGCTTTCACATGGAATGAAAATAGTAGTTTCTAATTGAGACATTGAATATCACAGATTTGAAGGATCCTTGAAAACACTTGTTTGTGAAAGGAGTTATCAATTTGTGGTACAGACAGCAACACATATCCGAATCAGTTTTACAAGTTAGTCATTATCTTGACATGTTATTACTGTAATCGCAGATTTACTGTTGCTTATGTCATTTTGGCTAAGACCATCGCTCACTCTAGTTTTATCAGAACTTTTTTTTTCATCGGAAGAAAGTGTTTCGTATCTTATGGCATGTAACCTGTAGTTTCACAAGGCATTAAATTAAGGTTTGTAGTAAATTTGGAGCTCATGTTGCTCTGGGTCTGTGGTTTTGTTTTTGTGTTGTTTGTTTTTGCTTGATTGACTCCCCCAACTCGTGGGGAAGTTTGGCAAGGCCTTAGCGCGTTCCCTGCGTAAACCTGACAAAAATGTTGGCCCTCTGCAGGTTTTAGCTGTACTGGATGGCTGTGAGCCGGAACGTAACGTTCAGATCGGACACAGCCTGAGGCCGAGTCTCAGTAACTTGGCTGTGACAGGGAATAATGTGAGTCTCTAGGCGAGGCAGCCAGCTAGTGGATTCGCGAAGCCATTCAATGCAGGTGCAGATTCAAGTAATTTGGACGCAGCGTGACAGTACTGATAGCTTAAAGAGCGCCCTCTATTGCATGTGATTTAATTTGAAGTGACCCTCAACCTATCAAACTGTAATTTGGGACAATTGCCCATCTAAGACCTTTAAAGTTACCACTCGACAGATCCGACGGCGCTGTGGACGATGAACTTGCGAGAAACTAAATGCTTTTGCCAATCGATCTCTTCCGAAATTCATCCCGTCCATTTCTCCCAAACGGGTCATTTCCTCCAGACTTCCGATTATTTCCTCGCTCGGGGGAGTTTAAAATCTTTGGGGGAATTCATTTACAATTACATCCGGATCAGTTCAAATATTAAGGCCTACGGACGGAGGAAACTCCGTGGGAAATGACGTTCTCCGCAATTTGAAAATAATCCATGTCAGGGTTACAGCATCGTCGGACAGTTTCTGGCGGCAAATAAAAACTATTGGAAACTTTCAAATTCATGAATAGTTCGTTGTACATAATTGTTAATTATTTCAACAGTGAAACAGAAAAACCAAACAAAGATTTGGCCCTTTTGACTTTTTTTCTTGGGAGGAGATAACTGCCGTCCCTTGTCGTAGTCTTTTATGTACACAACCATATGAATCATCCCAAGTATGGACCCGGTTCGTTATTAATCCACCGTAAATTAAATTACTTCGCACACTACCCCATCCCCCACCCTGGGCACCCATGACCAGAAAAAAATACACGTTTGTTTGGGAAGGGGAACATTGGGCAAGCAAGGAAAATCTCGGATTTTTACAAAAATTGTTCCTTGTGGAACGGTTGCATGGAAGGTGCACTCGATCCCTCAAAATAAATTAATAATTTTGTAATAGCACCCTACAGAGCTTCCTTTTTTCCAAAAGATTTCAATTTTTATTTCTGCACTCAAGTCTTGGTTTTCATGAGTCCGTCAAGATTTGGTTTCCTCTTTCCATTTTCTACTAATTTCCAATGCTCCCGAGGAACGGTGCAGACTTCCACAAAATCTGTCTTGGGAAAGTCCCTTTTGTGTTCATACAATGAGTCACGGCCTGGTACTGGTCAACATCAACAGATCCATTGTCGGTGATAACTCATTTGGAACCGCACGGGTTCATTTACTTCCCCTCAACGGTGCTCACTTCCTTCCTGAAAACTGAGTGATGTAATGTTTCGGGTCACTTTTAGTTTTTGGATGAGTGGTTCTCATCAGTTACGGCAATAAAGCATGTAGTATTTACGTAGTTTCAGGGATATGATAAGGATAAAATCAAAACGCAGGCCTTCTTGGGAGAAATCGTTGATTTAGTGAGCGAAGAGCTTTAAGCCCGGTGTGGTTTAGTGAGATCGTCAGATTTTTCATAGTTTACACTGGTACCCGCTGTTATTGTTAGACTGTATTGGAAGTCGCTAGGTCGCTGGGTACCAACGCCCTCATAGCGTGTGAAAGACACATGTGGCAGGTTCATCAGAAGCATCAAGGATAGCAATGGTGTCGGGAGACTTGGCCATAGCAATGGCGGTTTGTCATTATTTACCGCGATTGCCACTGGACAGGCCGATTCCTAAACACGTCCTACAGCGCAGAGGAGCCATCTCGTTCAGTTCAAGCACTTCTCTCTTCAAGAGCTTGCCGAGACTCGAGGTAAGTTTGCTGGAAAACCGTGGGCCCCTCTTGTGGACGTTATCCCGCCGTGCACAATGCAACATACATCGTACACGTACTGTACATGTACATGTACGTAGGCCAATGCACAGGAAACGCCGCTGCGGTTGCATTGTGTGGTTTTTATGTTCTAGCTTCGCACAAACCTGATCCGGGATGCATGGGTTTGCCCTTGACCATTTGCCTTTCTACTTAGCTCTGCACAGCCATTCATTTCAAAATGAAATATCTCAGTGTGGGTTTGATAAACTTTCCGACAGCAGATCTTCCCGATCTTAGTCCATCATAATGAGGTCGCGCACCGCAACCTTTGAACTTCTTACATGTTTGTACCATAATCGTTGGACTGTGTATCTCTGTCATCCTTTTGTATTTACGGCCAGCTTTGTTGACAACTTGATGCCCAGATCCCAGTAAATTTTGATAAATATTGCCAAATCAAGATACAAAAAATGAGCCCAACTGGGGAGTTTAATGTGAATCGTGTGATGCATGTACATGTAGGCCTACAACTTACACAAGGCATACAATTTCTGATCTTCAGAAATTTATGCAGGCTAGCCAGTGCCAACATTGATGATGTAACAATTTTGTTGTTTCCCATGCAATATTGATTGGTGTAATCTAATAACGTCAACACATAATTTTTTTTTGCTCTTCATGCAATAAAAGGACCAATGCAGAGTTAATGTTGTGGAATTATGCTCTTTTTGTCTTTTTTTGTGCCCAAAAATCTTGTCACTCTGGAGTTTGTT